TTTTTTTTTTTTTATAAAATCAATTAAGCCAAGTTACGGTTGAAAAGCTGCTTTTTTAACCGTAACTTGGCTTAACAATATTCTTTCATAGGATATTTTTGAAAGTGCAAGACATATATCAAGAAACTCGTGTCAAGCATGGAAAATATGCCTTTACGAGTCAGGTTCATGATTGAAATACCACAAATGTACATAATGAAATGCAACCGCCGCGGTTACAAAGTTCGCAAATGAAATTTTGACAAAGCAATCGTCGAGGAACGAGCAATAAACTAAGGAATGGGAGGGTATAGTCGACATTTGTTTCAACCGTTTTACACCTCGGACAGCTAAGCGTAACGATTCACGAGACACTCACGTGAGGTAGTCCGGATACTCCGATGATTTGGGGCTCTCCGGTAAGTCGAGATTGCAGGTGGAAGTGGTGACGGTGCTGTCCCCGTTCCCGGCCAGGTCGTTGTAGGAGTTGCTGCTGCTAGTGCCGCTGTTCCTCTTCTTCGACTCCCGATCCTTGTCCCCTCCGCGTCCCCTGTCGTTCCTGTCGCTCCTGTCTCTCCTGTCGGCTAGCACGCCGTTCGAACTACCACTGTAACTACTACCCGTGCTACCACCGTCAGTCACGGCACTGGGCATCGAACGCGCCGCGAAATCCGTCGCGATGGTAATACTATCAGGACCGGCCGCCGTCGTCTTGGGGACATGGTGGTGACGACTGCCGCTCAACGAGTTACTATGGGCTACACTACTATGAGAATTATGGCTGCTGGTCGCGTTGCTGGTTGCGTTGCTCCCTGACGAGGTCCCGATAATGGCGACGTCGCGGTGACCGGTCCGGTTGTTCTCTTCACTGTCACTGGTGGGCGTCGTGCACGGTTTGCCGCTTCCGTAGCCGCCACCCCGTAGCACATCACTGTTCGCTGTTCTTTCGGGCCTGTAATCGCCTCGGCGGTCACGTTGATGCTGCCTCTGGTCCCAACCGTCAATCACACCGCTGCCACCACCACTGCCACTAGCACTACTACCGCCTGGTGCTCCACTAACACTGTTACTACTACTACTACCAACACTACCAGCCGTCCTTCCGTTCTCCCCGGGGTTCGTCGAACCGGAGCTCGGCTCTGGCTTCTTGCAACGAGACACCCGTTGCTTCTTTGTGGGCAGCCCGTCGTTACCCTGGTAGTAGCCCGGCCGTTTGGCGCTCAGAGACGGTGGCGGAGCCGTGATCGCTGGCGGTGAGCCGGGGTGAGTGGAATTCGGCGACTGTCCGCTACCTGAAAACGAATACGAACGGTGCTAACGGTTGACGTACGCTCATGTAGATTTTATAGTAATACTGTTAAGTGAGACCGCTTTGGACTTTGTGGAATATCTTTCTACCTAACCCAATATGGATTGGTTAACGATCAGAAGTTTTTTAAACTAAGAGTGCTAAGGCAGTATTTGATAAACTTTACTAATAAATCATCGTGAAATTCAAAGTAACTCCAGAATTTTAGATGGAAATACATCCAGACCAACGCAAAACATGCTTGAAATAATAATAAAAATATTTACTCTGGTGTTAGATAGAAAGCCAATAGAAACGAACAGAAAGAGTCCAAGTTGGATGTGAAAGAGCGAAAGTGAGTGATGTAATTCACTTTTATCCTAATTTTGAGAAACCTTTTTGGACTGCATCCATGCAAACAAGTCGATATTTTAAAATCTTGACTCGTATAGTATCTTTCACTCTGTCGTACACTAATAAATCTGTATTTGATGACGCGAAACGTACCGCTAGATCCACCGTCGCTGGACCCAGGAGGAGTAAGATTCTGAGGTTTTCTTCTCTTCAGCATCGCCTTCTCCTGCTCGGTGTAGTAAGGCCAGTCTTCCTGAACGTCGTTCCAAACATACCTGTGCAAATGATACGTGTTGTCCCTCATGAAAGCCACCTGCTTCAGAATCATCGTCATGATGCTGCGCTCACGTTCTTTTATACCCTCTGGAAATGATCCACGGATTAGATAACTGGACTCGTCCAATTTGGTTTCGGTATCCCCGAGGCGTTTAACTATCTCGACCGCTTAAAAAACAGGCGTATTTTAGGCATTTTTTTCCACGAGAAATGTGTACACTTTCCAAGACATTTTTAAAGAGATCAGAGTAATTAAACGCCTTAAGCTTCTACGATACGCTGACTCTTACCTCTGTTAATGCGATCATACAATTCAGGTTTTTTGTATGGCCTCAAAGCGAGAAGATGTATCAGCCTCTCCCTGTTGACGAAAAAAGAGATCGCATTAGTTACAATTAGAGTAATACATTCGCATTAGCAAATAATTATATAAAAGTTGTATTAGTAATATTTTTGTATGCACTTAAAAATTCCATTGTGATTTAGAACAGTTTAATTTAAGACAATTATAGATTCTGGCCTGACATACTGTGTCATGGTCTGATATTTAGAGTTTCGTTAGATTCTATAAATTTTGAAAAATGCTTCTCTTGTCGATACGAGTTGTAGAGACTTTTATCTTACAGTAGTCGATCAAATTATGTATCATGTTAGAAGGATGTCTCTTCATAAAGCTAGACTCGTAGGAAATAAGAAAAAAGTTTCACACATTGTAATTAATTAAAGTATAATTAAATGTAATGGGGATAAAATCTGCGAACTGAATAATATTCTCTGACATCTTTAATCTAACATCGACATTATTTTCGTTTAAAACAGGTCCCTTTCCTCCCCCAATCAGTGGCTCTAATATCATAACTTGGTCATCAACTATAATCACTTCGAGTATAGTAGCTCATCGTGATTACTCTTTCATAATCCACGCGAGATTAAAGCAAATCTGCGACTCTCGAGGATCGTCGTATCGAGTACCGTTACGTGTGTCGTTTAATTTTCATTGGACGGTTGCGAACATGAAGCTGTAACGTGTTCGAGCGAGTCTCGATACGTCATCTAGCAGTGATGGGCATGAACCTACTTCAACGGCCTGCGCATGACGTCGGAGACCTTTTTCTCCGGTTGACTCCTGGCTGGCGGAGGATTGCTGATGGCTGGCTTGTAAGTGGAGGAAGACAGCCTGGGCTGACTGCCGAACGTTGGAATGCTCGTCGATTCCCGATGCCTCGAATTCGATGGAGACGGTATGGGCCTTCCGGTCGCTTTCACCTTCACCTTGCGCCCGATGTCCGGCCTGTTTGGCTTGATAACCCTGGTGCTGGAACAAACAAGAGGAACAATGTGCAAAACATCGTAAAAATGGGGGCCAGGTGTATAATTCTTACCTACATCAAAATTTCGAGCGAGGTATGAAGGATAAAAAAAAGTTCTAGCCTACGCTTGTCAAGGAATCCTTTAACTAGGATTCAAGTAACGAATTATAAAAATTTGTTTATTTTTTCTCGGGAGTATTATTGATGGATTTGCGAAGTTTCTCGGTGATACGTTTTTCGAATCATTGTGTATGTTTAAAAGTAGATCGAATATAGTTGTGTTTGGAGCCATTTTCACGAAGAACACTTCACTTGAATTACAAAATGGAATTATATTTCACTTGAACAATCGAACGAACTCTACGTATAAATCACTATTCAGACTGCTCGTTCGTCATCCATTATTCCAACGAAGCTCTGACCTTCTCCGTTACACACACAGAAACCAAGAAACCATTTTTCTGTTAGACACACCTGATATCACATTTGTTCCAAATGCTACTTTTCTACTGTTAACATACTGTGAATTATTTCACATTTTGTTCCAACATAACGATACAAACGCCCAAATAATTATTAAAAATATTCTAATACAGAAATAACCACGGTATGCATAAATAATTCCGAATTAAAGCTTCCAACGTCGTAACGCGACACCGTGACGAATTTAACCGATGTCACGGGTCAATAACGATCCGAGCAAAACAATTCGTCCCTGAAGTGTTGAGAAAACACGATCGTCGCTGGTTCATTCTGGACCAGACAGGTCCCAATGATCCACCGAATTGTCTTCGCGAAAGTGATTAATCGATCCCCTTTGACGCAGTTACCAGCCAACGGCGAAGCCCATTATCGCTTTTGTTGTTACACGCGCCATTACGTAACCCGCTCGCTGGATAATAATTCCTATTCGACGTTCCGAAGCTTTACGCGAAGCTGGCTAGTGCAATGCTCCCCTGTTCGGCGACAATAGAATTTACGGGCATTATCGGGGCTTTCCTTCGAGTTTCTTTTCTTTTCGTCGAGGGCATCTGCTCCCGTTATGTAATCCGTGTCGCAACCGACGCTTTTGTTCCACGTGCGCGAAGACGGGACGAAGAGGTTCGAGCCCGTGACGAAGTTGCACTTGTCAGGCGCTCCTGACCTTGACCGTAACACTGTTAAACAAATTAGCCGTCCAGCGGCCGTGTGTCGTCCTTTGATGACTACGAATTGACGGAAACTACTTGCGACGATTAACGTTGGAGCGCGTTTAACTCCTCCCCAAAAAATCCGGGCAAGCTTTTAGAAATTCTTACGCGAAAAGTACACAACGTGGAAAGTTCAAATTTTAAGATTAAGCGTTCACGCTGTTAAATATGCACTCTAAAATTTGTGTCGAGAAATAGTGGCGAATCACGTCTCATCTGGATTTCTTTTAAAGAGCATTTTGTTTAGCTATTTGCTAGTATCGAAGATTTCAGTTCGAATTTGCCAAGTAACTAATAAAAAAGTAAATTCAAATATGTATGATGTATCGATCTTCGGATGACCTTGTGAGGAGTTATTTTTATAAAATCTATAAATCTTACAAATTCTGGACAATTAACGATCAAAGAATCGTGTCTTCCTTCTCTAATATCCTTTTGTTAATAATACAACTCTTCTGTTATATTCACAATATTTAAATCCCAAATCTAACTTGTGAAATTCCGGAATCTGACATTCAACTATCAAAGGATCACGTCAACGGTGGTATCACGTGTAAACGATAGGTGATTAAATAGCCACGGAGTTTCGACTTGTTTAAAAAGGTGGAATGCGTACGAATATGACACGGAACACGCTGAAAATAAACGAAACGACCGTAAGGAGGGTCGATAACGACCGTCGAGGAAGAAAAATCGGTTCCAGCCGAGGATCGATGAGGCCGAAACCGTTCGACGGCCACCTCGGCTACTGCAAAGGGTGACTTACCATTTGTTCTTGTTATTTTCCTCGGCGACGGCCATTCGATGCCTGGTTGTCTCGTACACGTCGTCGTTCGCCTGTATCCGCATTTTGCACGGCAATGCGCCAAGGCTCTCCAGACTCCTGAACGGAAAGAAAATTGCGCCGATAAAGAATACGCCAATTCAGTGGAACCCATCGCTGTCGATTATATATCCATTTATTATACAGGATCCATTTATTTTAACCCTTCATTTACTGAATTCCTCATAAGTTTTTAAAATCTAAGCGTCCATCTTGGTTTTACATCATCTTATAAAGTTGTCTCTAACAAGCTTCCAAAAAAAAAAAAGCTCGCTCCATTTATTATACAGGATCTATTTATTTTAACCTTTCATTTACTGAATTCCTCATAAGTTTTTAAAATCTAAGCGTCCATCTTGGTTTTACATCATCTTATAAAGTTGTCTCTAACAAGCTTCCAAAAAAAAAAGCTCGCTCCATTTATTATACAGGATCCATTTATTTTAATCCTTCATTTACTGAATTCCTCAAGTTTTTAAAATCTAAGCGTCCATCTTGGTTTTACATCATTTTATAAAGTTGTCTCTAACAAGCTTCCAAAAAAAAGCTCGTGCTGGCATCTAACAATTAAAAACGAACTTCATAGAAGCGAACTGAAGTGAAGAATTAACACAGTACCATGTAGAAATTGATGGGACTTGTAAGTCCCGCCAATAAATAAAAGTTTAAATCGAAACTTTTGTAAGTTGGATGTATGTATTAAGTCACTTGATTAATATTATATCTTTTACTATTTGAAATATTTAATTTCTAAAGTCTGGATTAAACGTACACATATGTATACTCTGTCTCTCAAGTGCAGATGTATATAACGTGATTTAACAGAGCATTATTTAAATGGCATTGACATTAAAATTACCGAGATCAACGCACAATTATTATACATGAAAGTATATTTTTATAATTACAGGAAGGAGGAAAACTAATTTTCTTGGTTCTCGCAACAAATAAAACCTATTACTAACTCGTAACATATTCATACATTTATGATTTCACAAAAAATGTAACCCTTTAAATACGAAAGAAAATCGTTCCCTACAATTCGATGAACGGCGCCCTTTAGACGATGAATTTACAAATCTTTATGATATGTTTACACAGCACAAATATACTTGTAAATACAGAAGTAATCGTCACCCGTCGGCAAAGGTTTCCAAACACCTAATTGTATATAAAAGAAAAATAAACCTCACGATTTTTCGGTGGCGCTCTACGCGACATTCGTAATTAAGAGGCGAGTAAACGAAAGCAGCGAATGCTACTTTGATTACTTACTCTGACTGTGTTCGAGGGACCGTTACGATAACATAGAACGCGCGGCGGTAGGCGTCGAAAGACAAAGGTGAAAATGGGGTTAACTCACTTGGGGCCGGTCTGCTGGATGCATTCGAAGCCACCCTGAGGACCCTCGATGTCCTGGTTGCCGGAAAGGCTGAACGTGAAGCCTGCCGATCCATGGCTGGATTGCGTGGATGGAAAGGAGAGTTGCTGGAATCAGAACACAATCGTCGGTTACTCTCTGTGCGACTTCATCCCGCTAATAAGGTCGCATTAAATTACGAAACAGCTCCGTAGTGTACCTGCCGTGTACGTGACACGAGCCGCTATATACCTATTCTCATATACCTATAGCAACGGCTACCTATATCTCGCCTGGGTACATGGAGCACGCGCATATGTATCCCCAAGCTTGTTCATCTATCTATCTATCTATCTATTTATCTATCCGTCTGAGCCTTTAAGTAGATTCGTAAGTAGGATGTAATCCTTCTCAGGTTAACGTTTTATTCAGGGGAGCCCCGCTTTATTATTCAATCTTGGATCGTTGATATCGGATACCCGCTTATTCGGAGATGAACAAGCAAATACTTTCGATTCGTTCATGAATTAAATTTTGGGCGTGACTTCGTTTGTTTTGATGTCGATTTGGAAAGATTCGTCAATGGAAATAAATTGAAGTGAAAATAAATTGGTTTATAAGTGAATCTAAAATTTGTATTGGTTGCTAATTGGAGTTGTCCAACGTGTTTTATTTGATTGAAAGTGGAATATCGCAGGTCTATTATGGGGATTTTGTTTGACTTTTCTTCTGACGATGGAGTACTACAGTACCATTTGTAAACTTTTATAAACTGTAAGGATATAAGGTTTAAGTAAACTTGTACGTGTATTCTCCATATACGGTGGATGCTTTTTGGCACAAGCCTTTTTTTTTCAACTGCTGCTAATTATTTACAAATTCCTGAAAAACAATTGCGTATATCCTTAATTATAAGCCTATTGTTCTTGATTCATGTTTTCGTACTCTATTTCCAAGTTGTTTTCTTGTATTCTATAGTTTGCGCGGAAAACTACGATTGCGCGGAGCATAATCTCGAACGCGTTACGTCCAAATTACAATCCACTCAATTTACGCGTGCACGGGACAGGGGGATTAAAATTTCTCGAACGCGACGCGACGCGTCACGTCAAATTACGTCCAAACAGCGGTGATTAGAAGGGCTGTGTCAAATTACAGCCAGGACCAAACATAATTTAACTGCGTCGCGCGCTGTTTGCCGGTTTCTCGTTCGACCATAATTTCGTCGGATAACAAAGGCTCGCTCTGGCCGGTGGTTATCGGTGCGTTAGATAATTCTGTGCTCGATCGCCATTGCGTCGAGCACGACAGGGTTGCCTCTGGAACATTTCATTCATCCCTTACAATTATAAATTGCCGTTCCACTTATAAATTAGAAATAGAGGCTTCCTATAATTTTAAAATTGTAATTGAAATTTTGCATCGGTGAATCGCAAGGAATTACAAATTGGAGCAAACCTGGAAGACTTTTTTCTGTTTGCATTCTATGCGTTTCTCTTTTAAGAAATTAATATCGCATTAAACTAGGGTTGGATGTATATCAAAGCTGAATAAGAAAATACAATATGCCCCAGCGTAAATAATTTTCATTTTTTCACGTATATTCCTATAAGTCTACTTCTAAATTGCAATTTGGTCAAATCAGAAAAATATTCCCTGGGAAATATATGTCTCACTCGGGTCGAAAGGGTTATAAGTAATATATATATATATATAGTTACAAAGCTATTGCAAACTATGCGTGACAAAAATTAGACTCTTCCCAGAACTCCTTGCACAATCTCGATGTAATCAGAACTTCATTCCCTCCACTTATGGTCTGGTTTCCCGAAATTAAAAAGATTTCCCTCTCTCAATGAAAAATTCTATGCATCCCAGAGTAGCTGCAGCAGCACGAAGATTTCCCACGTGTCACGAGGTCATCGCGCGCTCTTATTAATTAACAATCGAGCATACACGTCGGCCATCGAGCGTTCGAAATTATCCCTTACCCTACGAAGCAACCATACGCCAAAATATTCCAAAACTAAAGCACGTTTCTTTTACTCTCCTTCATATATATATTAATAAATCATGGCACCAAATTTCTTGCGTTAATTTGTTTCAAAAATACACGATTCCGAAAACGACTCAGTTTATCACTCGACAAACCATTAACTCCTCTCGTAACCCGTGCAGCCGATAATGATAATAAATATACCTCGACGCGTTTCGAAATAATATTTTGCCAGTTGCGCGGTGCGAAAATAACGACCGAACTGTTCGAGTCCATGCAAGAATAAATCATTTTTCCTCGTGTCGACTACTGAACGATGAAAAGTGGTATTCGTATTTAGTTACCGAAAAACTAAAGCATTTTTGAAATTTTATCGAATATCTACAATAAAGGTATGCGAGTACTGTAGGACCTCAATTATTGCACATTTAATTATTTCACAAACTGAATTATTTCGAAAGAAGAGTATAGTCATTCATTGGATTGATTACCTCGATTATTGCAGGAGCTTTCAGTCTCAATCGTTGCACTATTATATCGTGGATGTATAAATAACTAAGAAATAATTTTTCTTTTAAATGATCAAATAAAATTTATGCGATAGGGGATGAAAGAGTGCATAGCGTAATTTTTTTTATTATGATCTAAAGATGATGACCTAACGGACAGGGGATGCAGCGAGCATTGCCGTCGAAGCAGTAAATGGCCCAGGACGAAACCAGTTTGAGGAAACTTTTCGACGTTCCCCGTCGCGGTGATAGAAATCTACGAGACCTGGGTGGAACATCCATGGAAAGCTGTCTTGGCTGTCGTCGTAAGAATTATTTCTACGGCGACAACGACAACGCAAGAGGTACGTTTATCGGCGGATTTGAATTGATGGGGCTCTTATCTTTGTAGCCAGAAACAGAGCATTTTCCAAGATGTTTCTTTTTTGAAACTATAAAGTCTATCTGAAGTCCATTTGAAATTTCAAACATGCATTGCTTATAGTCTAAGAGAATTTAAAAAAAAAATTACAAAGGATACTTAGTCTCTTTCTGAAATATAATTAAGTTCTTAATAACCAGTAACAGTGTTTCTGCAAGATTTCTTTTTGAAACTATAAATTAATATTATAATTATAATACGAAATTCTTCATTGCTTCTTGTCTCATTCCTTTGGCTACAGCAATAGTATTATAAACAAATATATCGACATTCGACTTAATTAATTATATATAATATACTTTATAATATGTTATATCGTAACACCTCTTAACGGAGAAACTAAAAAGCAACAAACCAAGAAAATATTCGAAAGTAAGCATGCACGTGTAAAATGCGATTTTCCACTGCGTTCTGCAATCGACATGCCTCCGCTCGGCAAACCGTCGAACACAAAGAAGATTATCGCCAATTGCGTCAACTTTCTTATTATCTTTCGTATGTTTTTGCTTTCACAATTGTGTCACACAATTCTTTGTTATACAATCGCACCGCAGCGTTATAAATACACGCTGGTCGATGCTGGCGCGCAACATTCGACGAACAAAGGCGAGCAAGTCGCTCGCATTACTGGAGTAGAAAATCGCAAATTGCATCGAGAAGCTTGTTTTATGAACACCGGGTTCTATGAGCACGTTTTCCTTCGTTTTGCCGGCGCCGTGCGTTCCAGAGGCGGTGAAACGTTTACGTTCAAATTTTCTCGTCGAGTCTTTCCGTGTAACGTTCTTTAATATCATTGGGTGATAAAATTAATCACGTCCAATGATATTTTTTTTTAGGGCTATAATTCGTGAAATGGATTTGAAGATCGAAGAGTTTAGAATGGGACGTTTACTAGATTAGGAATTTTCTTTGAGAAATTTCATTGTGGAGTATATATGAATTTTTATTGAAATTCAATTTCCATTTGCATTGTTAGGTTTCTTAGAGTATTTTTTTTTATTCTTCATATTCTGCCTCAAAAAAAAAAAAAAAAAAGAAAATACCGCAAGTGTATAAATAAACTCATCTATTTAATACACATAATATTTCCAATATAGTGAAACGTTTCACGAAAAGTACATAAAATATTTTCGAAAAATGACCCAGTTCACGACACACGGTTCTCGTTTCGGCCGAATTGTTTTTTTCCTAGCGGACACACGAGGCATAAGAAGTCCGGCTTCCATGCTTTCGAGAATTAACGTTCGTTTCCAACAAACAAGAGCGCAGTCGTTTTTCGTGCGATTGAATTTCATCGAAAGTCAGCCAACCACGACCGAGTGTATTTCGTAACGTTCGAGTGGTAAACCCTCTCTCCCTCCTTGGCGTTGCCCCCCTTCATCCTTTCTCTTCCTCGATTCCTGCGAAATCCTTTCTTCTTTCCGCGGCGTAACGCCTCCTGACATTTTGAAATCGGTCAACGGACCGAACGTATTTCGTGCGACGCGTCGAAAGCGGCAATTAGAATCGTATCGCGATGCATGGTCGATCCTCGAATGATCGATGGACCGCGCCGACCTTCGCTATGCATCGTCAGTATACCGACTATGGACCCCGAAACGTCTCCCAATAATTATACCCGATTCTCTAGTTGCCATCATAATTCCTCTTGTATTTTTAAAAAATCGACAAGAATTCCAAAATTCTCAAAATTAATCAAAGATCCAATGTTTCTAGTAGAACTCAGTAAAACTGGAGGAAAATATAAAAAGCACATTCTTAAAACGACAAGAGACAATCCGATCATGATCTCAGCGAAGGAAGGGATATTTTTCTCACGGACGTTCACGTATCGAGGACACAGAGGATTCCCCCCTTCTTCTTGAAAGGTTGAACAGTGCGAGGAGGCGATATGAAAGTTTCGCGAAGGGAGCAAAAGTCGTTGGTTAAAATTTCACTGGAAGGACAAACCTCTCGCATTTTTGTTCACACGTCGTAGGATACCTTGCGTTCAGAAAGAAAATGCGTGGCTGTCTTAAGTATAAATTGACATGCATAACGACAGCAATCATAGGAACTTATGTATGATCCATTTTGTAGGATATCACATTCATTTTTATAAATAAACAATTGTTTGAGAGTATCTAACAAAGAGAGTAAATGTTTATTAGATAGTAGAAATTCCGCTCTTTAATTTGCATTTTGTTTGAATCGAATCGGACG